TTTTCTTTTTATCTTCTTTACTTATTTCTTTATTTCTTGTTGGTTCAAGGCTAACACTTTTTTCAAACAATTTATCTTCATTTTCTTCATATTCGAATTGTTCAATAAACTCTTTTAGATTTTTACAATAATAGAAAGGAAATGAAGTTTCTTGTTTCATTACAATTTCTCTTAACATTGAACCATAAGTTCTAACACGGAAGAAGTTAACTAATTTTAATTGACCATTTTCACTTTTTTCATTTTCTTTAGTAAAAACTAAATCTCCTAATGTAGAACCTAAAAACGGAATACATGGTGGTTCACATAATGCAGTAATTTCTCTTAATTTTTTAAAATTTGATTCATAATTAACTAATGATTGAAATTCAGTAAGTAATTTAATTGACTCTTCACTTAATCCATCTTTAGTATCTTTTAATCGATAAATTGGTGATGAGTCTAATGCTGCAAGTATTGCTTTAAATCCATCAAAATTATTTAATTTCTTTAAGTATTCTGCAACTTTAATAAAAAATTCAATAGCAAATATTCGATGTTTTAATTTTACTAATGAAAGAATAATATTTTGAACAACATATGATATTTTATTAGTTAATTGCATCATTGCAACAATATTTGGAGTAAGTGTTTTATTATCTTTTTTTGTCCACATTTGACTTAATAATTCATCAACTGTTATTCTTCTAAATTTATCAAATTGCATTAAAGTTATTTGTTGTGCAATATCTTTAATAGAAAATGAAAATATTGGTTGTTCTTCTATAAAATCTTTCATATATTTTGCTTCAGTTCCTACTGTAAATTCTCTAATATGTGTTTGTGTCTTTTTTTCTTGTTTGTCAATAAAATCTTTCATAAATTTTGCCATTTTTGGTTTAAATGTTTCATACATTCTAATAAGTAATTCTAAAGTTGTTCTCATATCAATATCATCAAAATCACTAAATCTCCAATTAACCCATGACCTAATAAATCCCATAACTTTCATTCTAATAGGTGATAATTTAGAACTAACAAATTCATCCCAATTCATTCCTTCTGGTCTTTGTGGATTAAATCGTTTTACTAATAATCCAATAAGTTCTTCTTTAGTCATTACAGTTGGGTAACCAAAAACAAGACATTCAGCAAAATAAGGGTCTTGAAAATCTTTTGATGTTATTACTTGAATCATTTTTGGTAATGTAGCTGTTTGAATAATAGGAAAATCCCATCCTTTTTCTTTTGTAAATGTAATAAATTCTGGTGAATCTGGTTGTTCAAATATATTACTATTGTCATCTGCTTGGTATGTACTTTCATCAATAAAAAGTGTAGTATCACTCATACCTGAAAATGTTGAGCGTGCAATACTAGAACCCATTGTCCCTGAAAGTTTTGAAACATCAGCACTAAGACTTACAGAGCATCGTTTTCTATTTGAAATAGAACTTCCAACTAAAAAATTTTGAACAGATTTAAAATTTGGGATTGCTTCTTTATGACATAAATCAACCAAAAATGCTACTGTTAATGGACTTTTACAAACAGGGCACTCCGAATGTTCTTTAACACTCGATGAAAAACATTCAGCACAAATACTTTGTTTACATCGTGGGCATTCAGTATTAACTTTATATTTATGTGGGCATCCACTCATTCTTATTGTTTAGATTGATATTATAATATTAAGTTTCATTTCTTAGATTTACTATTAATTCGTTTATTTTTTTGTTTTTTTTTTAAATTGTATATTTTTAAAAGATTTTTATTGTTTATCTATTTTTCCCTTTTAGTTTTCTTTTTCTTTTATTTAATACATTTTATTCTATCTTATTTTTATAAAAAAAGAGAAAACAAAAAAATGTGTCCAGATTAGTTTCAAAAAGAAAAAAGATAGAAAAAAATCATATCAATCTCTTATTTTTTATATCCCCCAAAGAATTCTAATAGGTCCATGGTATAAATGGACCATCAGGGTTTACATTGACAAACCTATTATCTCGACTTTTTGTGATTTTAAATTTTGCTTTAAAACAGTGTGTAACAAAAGACTGTAGTTTTTGATTATTTGTTACAGACTCTTGTAAAAATTCTTCAGCCGTTATATCAAGTAACGATTTCATAGTCGTATCAAAACAAACAATGTTCACATAATCATTTTCATTATTAATATTACATATAGTCATAGTTATTTTAAAATATCGTGCAGTTGGTGCTTCTGAACATGAGCACTTTGTTCCAATTACCTTTCTATGACATTTAGTACATCCAACGTACGTCCCTGTTCTTTCTTCTATTAGTGGAATCTTTAGAATACGAAATACAATTTGTCTAATAATTTCTTTGTTTTCTTTAAGTAAAGAAGAATCACCTTGTTTAATCTTTTCAATTTCTTCATGAAAACTCTCAAATGAGTCATATTTCAATTCAGGTTTAAGTAGAAGAAATGGGTTTTCAATTTCAATAAATTGAGTGTTTTGAGTGTCTTGATATTTTAATAGTTCAATTCTTTTTAAATTTGTAACTTTAAACCATTTTTCTGTTATAGGTTTGATTGAGTGATTAAACAAAAGAATCTTTGAACAAGGTGATGGTGATTTCTCTAAAATCTCAATCTCTATTGGATCCTTAGGATTTATTTTATTTGTTGAACCAATAGATAAAATAAAACATTTTATAGTTTTATTATTTTCATTAAATTGTTGGACGTATGTCTGTAAGTCGGATGTGTTAAATTGTGATATCTTATTTTCTTGGCAGTCATATCGAAAAAAAGAAATAAACCCGTGCAACTGAACTTCCATTTCAATTTTAGCTTCATATCTTTCTTCTTTATAACCAACAATACAAATATTCTCACCTTCATCATTCATTGTTAATTTTTCAATCCAAACTACAAAACTTTCTTTTGTTTTTTCCTCGTGTAATAAATCATTAAGTAACTTATTTGTAAGTGACATCTTGAAATTCTCAATAAAGAGTTTTTTAATAGGAAAAATACTGTAACTCCCTCTTTTTTGAACAAGATGAAGAAAATATGTTATTTGTTCAATGGCACTTCTTTTTTCGGATTTGAAAATTCTTCCAAAAATAAAACTTTATAATTTTTATTTTTTATAAGTAATTTAAAGAATAAAAATAGGAAAGTTCTTTTTCAATACAAACAATATAGTAGTAGAGGTGGTCAGTGCTAATATGATGAATATTAATAGTGAAGATATAGTAGTGTCTTAGAATTAATTTTAAAAGGATATAAATTGTAGTTTTCATTCTTTTCTTTATTATTCCTTAATATTACTTTACTTTATTTTTTCAATTAAATAAAAAGAAGTATTTATATTCATTTAATTTTTTTTAGTTCTTATTCTTTTATTCTTTTTAAGTTAGTTTTATGTTTATTTGATGATATGCATCATAAATTATTTATTAATTAAATACAATTTTATTTGTTCTATTTCATGAATGTAAAATAAATCATTTGTGTTCATGTTGTTTTAATTGATGAAAATATAAGATGTTAATATTCTTTATCTTCATGATTATTCTTGTTGCATATTCTTATTCAACAATTACTATCATACCTTTCTTGTTATAAATTGTGATGATATCAAACTGTTTAAATGTGATTTAATTAATACAGAAATAGTATTTAAATCTATTGTTTTCATGATATTCTTCATATAATTAGTTATTGATTCTCTTTGTTTTATTCTTGTTCAATAGCCATTGTAATAACATGTAACAGATAATTTGATAATGTATCAAATAAATCGTACATAACCAATTCAATGATATTCAAATGTATTTGATCTATTTCATAATCACAATGATTTATATTTTGAAATAATTGATGAGATAATTTCATAATTAAATTAATATTATTCATTCAGATTTTATTTTTGAATTAATTAAATAATATTAAATCAAGTGGTTAAATAAGATGAATTAAGATATATTAATTAATCGTGATATTATGATATATAAATATGATAAATAATAAAATATTAATATGTTATTCGATGTTATTCATTATTATTATTGTTATTAGATTATTATCATAGTCAAATTAATTTATTTATTAATAATGTATGAATGATTTTATTTAATACCATTTCACAAAATATATTCATTGTTGTGAATATTATTCATTTATAAATGTAATGTATTGATAAATTATGATATTCTGAGAGAAATAAAATCATCAAATATATTATTGAAACATAATCATAACACTTTCCTTAAACAAATTCAAAAAAAAGAATAACAAGTTATGAAGAAATAAAAAATATTTTAACAACTGGACTATAAACAGTATAAAAGTTATTTAGGTGACTCAATTAATTCTAGTTCTTCTTTCATTGATTCCAATCTAAATAAAAATAGCAGGACTGATAAAAATTGATTAATTAATGTATATTAATTAATTAATAAAATAAAAATAACAAGAGAAAAAGATATTTAAACAAAGAATAAGTAACTAATAACTACTAGAAAAGAAAAACCAAATAAACTAATTATGACTCAAAAAGAAAAGGTATATAAAAACTTAGAAATAGATGATGATGAAAGAATATAAAAATGAGAGTGTTAACAAAATGCTTTATTAAAACACCATTAATGATTTAACTTTTTTTATAAACAAATAAGCACTTTCCGAATTGTTATGTTTTACTTAAACAACCTGTCATCTTTTGAGAATATTCTCTCAACAATTTAATACAAATTAAATGAATAACTAAAAAAGTTTAGATAGATAAAGATTATTATAAGTAAATGATTTATTTACTTTTAATTATGATAATTTAATATAACTACTTACCTATGAGTCTGTGTAAGCAACAAACCAAAGGATAAATTAAAAACAATGACACAATTTAAAAAATAATTACCTCAATCATCATACCAAAGACCTATATTCCAGTTAAATAACTCCTGTGCAGATTTTTTTAATTCATCACTGAGTGTTGGTTGTTCTTCTATTGGTAATAACCCTTTCCATTCTCCATTATTCTGTCTGGAAAATACATTGTTCCATAGTCGATCTAATAAAGGATTATTTTTAAATCCATCTTCTCTTCTAGGTAATTCATTCAACCAACGACTCATCCACTCTTGTTGATCTGTTGAGCTTTGAGATTCTACAGATAACCCATCAGCAACAAAAGTACTTCCCCAAGGGATTTCTCTTGCAATTAATCCATCAACCGTTGGAATAACGAGTAAATTTCTGGCACAATAACCTTTAACTAATACAAGCCTTGCTATACCAATAACTTTTTGTTCTAACATCATATTATTTAGACAAGTGTATATCTCTTCAAATCCATGACATGGCCTAATGATCCATGAATTCTCTTGAAAATAAATGATTGGAACAGAGTCTTTTGATACAAAAGAGTGAAGAAGGAATTCTCGTTCTCTTTTTTGTAAAACCTTGTCTTGTCCTAGCATTGTTTCAACCCCATCAGTTTTTGATGCAGAAGAAAGGTCAGCTGGTCTAAGAAGACTTTTTCCGTATCGGAGAGTTTTAACAACATCTTCCTCTCCGAACTGGGCACCAGAGTTATTAGGATCATTCTTGAGAATATAATATTTCTTTCGTTTTTCTACTGGTAATTCATAGTCTGGAACTTGTCTAAATGGTGTGACATGTGACATACGCGGAAATTTTTGAACTTCATATTGTTTATACATATCAACAAATATTTCTATATCTTTTATCAATGTTAATGTATATTTATAACAAGGATTAGAAACAGGCTTCTTGAAAGGTCGTTTATCTTCATTTAAATCTAAAGAAGGATGTGTTGGATTATTCATTTAAAATAAATTTAATTTTTGGTTGAACTTTAAGTTCACTTTTTTATTAGATAAAAACTAAAAATTAATAGTTATCAAATGAGTGACTCTGAATCTTTGTCTTTAAGTGAAAGCGATAATTTTTATCACAACAGAAAACTCTCAACAATCACAGCCCCTTCTGATGTTCTTAAGGATGTTATTGATTCAGATAATGAAGACATTAATGATATTTCTATGCATGGAACAAAAGATCGAACTATTGCTGGAAATGAAACAGAATATCAATCTCGATGGAGAAAAAGAGAAATAAGTCCTGTTAGAGAGTGTAGAACATATAAAGAGCGAATAAAACAACATGAAAAAGAAATGAAAGAGTATAACGAAAATAAAGAAAAGCAAGAAGCTGACAAAAGAGAAAAGAATCTCAAAACTAAAAAAGAACATCGAGAGAGAAATAAACAATACCATCAAGGTATTAAAAAAAGAGAGAGAAGTGATAGCAGACATAGGTCATATACTGATCAATACCATACAAAGCATTAAAACAATAATATCATATAGAATAATTTTTTTCAATCTATTTTATTATACTAAAACTATAATTTATTATATATTTTGAAAAATTATATTTAATAATAAAAAAACTAAAAAATAAACTAGATTTTTATAAAAAAATGAAAACCTTAAAAAAATAATTAAAAAATAAAAAAACAGAACCCTTTGAACTAAAAATAATAGAGGAAAGCTCAAATGGTTTGTTTCAAATGAATTTAATGATAATAAAACTATTTCAATTACTCATTTCATAGGCCACTGTTACTTCAGAGTCTGAATTCCAACACATGCTTCGTGTTTGCAATACTAATCTTGATGGTCGTAGAAAAGTTCCATATGCCCTCACAGGAATTAAGGGATGTGGAAGAAGATATGCTTATCTCGTTTGTAAAAGAGCTGGTATTGATGTTAACAAGAGAGCTGGTCTTATGACTCCAGCTGAAATTGAAAAGATTGTTGATATTCTTAACAACCCACTTAACTATAAAATCCCAGTTTGGTTCTTGAATAGACAAAAAGATAATAAAGACGGTAAAGATTCTCAACTTATTGCTAATGCTGTTGAAACTAGACTTAGAGAAGATATTGAAGCTCTTAAGAAAATGAGAGCTCACAGAGGTCTTAGACATTATTGGGGATTAAGAGTAAGAGGTCAACACACTAAGACTACTGGAAGAAGAGGAAGAACTGTTGGTGTTTCCAGAACTAAAGGAGCTTAATAAAAGTGGTTAATTTAATCTCTTTTTGTTCATTTTTAATTTAAAAATATTTAAACCTAGAGAAAAATAATTAGATTTAGTTTAATTAATAATATAATAAGTTCTTATTTATCCTCTTCTATTTTGCTTAATTTCTTTTTTAAGAGATATGATGGTTGTTCTAATAACTCTGAACTATTTTCACTATTACTTTGTGTTAATGTTTTTTTTGGTTTTTTTGATGTTTCTGAACTATCATTTTGAGTAATTTTATTATCGCTGTCATGTACTGAATAATTATTACATTTATTTTTTATTGGTGCTAAGATTGGTTTAATTTCAGATATTTCACTTAACATCATTTCAGATACTCCTCTTTTGCTATGGTATTCATCAACTTCTTTCGATTCATTTGATGACTGAGTTTTTAATGAATTAATTAGTATTTTAGCTCGTTCAAGAACGAAGTTAATTTGTTGTTGTTTATCTAATATTCCAAGTTTATGTATCATGAAATTTAATATATCATTCTGAAGCCATAACTTTGGGGATTCTAACCCATATTTTTTTACTTCTTTTAATAACAACAAGTCACAGGGAATTCCCCATTCACAAGGCTGAACATTACCTAGACTTAATTCTACTTTTTTAATCGATTCAATAGCTTGTTTTACTTTTTGATAATTTTCATGGCTGTCTTCAATTTCCTCGCTCATTTTTATTTTGTTCAAATCGTTCATAACTGATGATAAAAGTCGTTGTGTTTTTGTGCTAAATATTTGAAATACTCCTTTTGGCCAATCTTCATAATGTTTGCCAAATCTTTTAAGTAACGATATAATCAATTGGCTTACTTTTTGACACTCTTCACTACTAACTTGTTCATTTGAAATAATACCTTCAAGTTTTTCTAAGACTTTTTGAGTTTCTTTATTAATAACTTTACATATACTTTCTTCACCACTTTCTTCAATAGGTTGATACTCATCTGGTTTGGTATGTTCATCAATTTTACTTCTTTTTCTTTTATCCTCTTCTTCTTTATGAGTAGATTTAACTTTTGTTGTTTCAATAATTTCAACCGATTCTTCTTCACCTGATTCACTAGGACTTTGATCATTACTATTAATACTATTTTCATTATTGTGTTCATCAACAACTTCTAAATAATCATTTCCAATATTTTTTATACCTTCTTTAGTCATAAGGATTTTCAATGGCCTCTTTTCAACAGATGATTGACTCCTTTTTTTAATTTCATTGTCAGGTTCTGTTTTCTTCTTTGTTTCTTCTTTTTGTTTTTTCTGAGGTTCTTCTTCTTTTGTTTTATTAAAAGTATTAATTTCTTCTTCAGTCCTAAATCTCAGAACAGTAATCCCTTCTTTAGCTTGTATTATTTCTTCTAAACATTTTCCATATTCAGAGAATTTTGTTATGTTATTAAGAGATTGAGATAGTCCATTACTTCTACTTGGTGGGGTTGTGTTTTTATTAGTTATTACAGAAAGTGCCTTTGTTTCATCATAACTATTTTCTATTACAATGTAAATAACTTTTAAGTCTTTTACTGTTCCTATTCTTCGTGTTTGACATAGTTCATCAATTTTAGATATAGTATAGTCATCATCAAGCATTAAAAGATAATCTGCAATTGAAAGTTCAACACCCTCCTCATATGAATTTGGGTCTAAACAAACAACATTTCTTGCTAATTTATTTTCGTCTTTTGTTAATGTTTCTTTGAATGCTAAACTTATATCTTTATTAGTAGAAATTAAGTTATCCCATCTGATAACCTTACATTTAAAAGTTTGTGATAGTGCCTCATTCATTTGTGGAATTGTTGAAACTACAACAACTTTTTTATTTAATTCAACTAATCCACGAACAATTTTTTCTGCAGTTGTCATCTTAATTCCTTTTATTTGAATTCCAAAAGTACTGATATTAGGAAAGAGCATTACTCTACTTAGATCTTCATTTAAAGCATTTACACTTTTTGTTCTCTTTAAATCAGAGACTGTTTGTTGATAAATTGATGATTGTTTTGTATGTTGTTTTAACATTAAAAACAATCTACTCAGCTGGGGTTTATTTTCTTTTTTCATTTCAACCTCGATTAATTTTCTATTAGACCTTCCTTTTAAGAATGTAATAAGTTGTTTCATATCACAACCCTCACGTACAACAGCAATTAAATGATCACAAATTCCTGTTCGAATTAATTTTGTATTGATATTTTCTTCTTTTTGAACATCGACCAATACACAATCAAATTTTACAAATCTTTTAAATGAAAAAGTTTTACAACAGAATAGAACAAGTTGTGGTTTTACATTTTCATCATCATCATATAATTCTAAATTAAAAAGAGTTTCTATTTGAGAATCGTTAGAAGGATTAACGATATAAGTAATTGGAACTCCAGGAAAAAGAAATGGTAATTGGTTATAATAATAAGGTAAAGAAGTTTCATCACACACAATTAGTTGTGGTTTAGGATAATTTAATGTTCTTAATCTAAACAATAAATAACATAAAACAGTTGTTCTTTTACCATATCCTCCATATATCAATGTCTCATAACGTTGTGAAACATTTCTTTTTATTGCCAATAAACAGTCTGATTGTGATGGTGTCAATTGAAGGGGAAATTCTTTTGGTTTAAATTTCCATCGATCTAATAATTGTTTTGTTCTTTCATTTGTAAAAAAAGTATCTGGTTCCTCACTAATAAATAACTCAAATGTCCCTGGCCATTTTACACGATACATAGTTGTCTTTTCTCCAGCATTTTCTGTGTGTGGTAATTCCATTAAAATTTTTGTTGGAACTAATAACTTAGCTGGAACAATTTTTTCTAAAAAAGGATATAAATGAAGTTGTTGGCGTGGATATAAACAATCATTGTAGACACATGATTTGTCTAAAGTCCAACACTCTTCAAACCTTTTGACCAATCCATTTTTATCAATTTTTTCATTAACTTCTGACTCTAAGATCCATGTTGCTTCTAATAATGAGTAATTATCCCAACGAACCAAATACATGTTTTTATCAATTGGATAATTTTCAAAGAATAACTCTGTAGATGGAACAAAATATTTGAAGGTTTTACTTAAATGAACCATTCTTGATCCAGGAATATATTTAGTAATTACTTGTCGAATTTGAAGTTTATTTGAACTTGTTTGTTCTTTATATTTTTTTAACTCTTTTTCTTCTTTCATTTTTTTTTCTTTACTTCTTGTTAATTTAGGTTTGACTTCTTCTTCACTACCAATTGAGATAGTATTGATTTGATTACTCTCTAGAGCAGTTGTTTTCTTTTCACCTTTTTCAGGGGTTTTAGTTTTAGTGAGTTTGATATATTCGTATGCATCACCACCAAATGGAACCATCTTTTTATCACTTATCAATGAATTAATTCTTTTCATGTAATGAAATTAAGACTAACTAATAATAGATCTTTAGAATCCCAAAAAAAATTTTTGTCATATAAACGAAACCCTAAATTTTTATTTTGCTTTTTATAATTTCGTGGAATTTAATATTTCATTTTATTTAAAAATAGATAGAGTCATAAATATTATCTGATTCAAATGTTTCTGGAATTATTGAGATTCTTGTTATAACATTTATAATACATTTTAAATCATCTCTTTTAGTGTCAGAAAATGGTAACATTGTACTTATTCTTGCAACAAATGTATTAATAAAATCATTTGACATATTCATATCTTTCATTGTTTTTGCTATTTCATGAATAATACCAATAGCTTCTTGATTTTCTTTCTCAACAAGTTTTTTTCTTTCTTCAAAAGATAATAATGGAATTTTATTTTTTAATTCTTCAATTTTAATATTTAATACTTTGGCTTTAGATTCATTTATTTTTTGATAATATAATTGTATCCAAATCATAGAATCTTCCCATAATGGCATTCCATTTAATGCAATACATAATGGTTCTTGAACAATATTTTCTATTCTACATAATTCTAGTGATATTTGAAGCATTAGTACTGCACATACTCTGTCATGTTGTGATACACAAAACTTACCAATTGTTTTAAATATTTCTATTAATATTAAAGCACATTCTTTTGTAACATTTCCAGGACCAAATTCTTTTAAAATAAAACAATGTTGTTTTGTTTGAAGATAATTTAAAAAATTATATCTTTGTTTAATATCACTAAGATCATTAAAAAGCATTCCAATTTCTGGAATTGGAGATCCGTTATTATTCATTTTAATTAATTTGTCAATAAATTTTGAACCAACAATTGGTTCTATTTTATTATTTATTATTTGAACTTTTAAACAATCAAGACAATAAGAATACATAATTGGTTTTTTAACTTCTTTTTTTCTTACATTATTTAATAACCCAAAAGTATCAATATGGATATCACTCAACTTAAATGGGTCTTTTACTTTGTTAAAAATTAAAGGATGTTCTTCTGTTGCTTTATAAAATTTAGTAAGAGTTAAAATACTATTTTTATAAATATTTTTTTCCATCCATTCATTAACAATAGAACATGTAATTTTAGAATAACTTTCACAAAAGAATTTAAAAGACTGCGTTTCAGTAAGAGATTTTAAGAAATCTATTTGTTCTGGTGGGTGTGATAAAATGAATTGATCATCATTAAAATGAATAATAATATTTTCATTTGATATCCAAGTATATCCAATAAATTGTTTATAATTTAATAACAATTGAATCACTGCTTTAAAAAAACATAATTGTATTGATATATTTGATGGTGTTGGTGGATTCCATGGATCCATTGATGAATAATCAAAATCAATAATAGTAATTTGAAGTAAATCTTCAAAAAGAGTATTTGTAATTGAAGATGGAAGGTCTGGAGTAACATGTTTTATAGAACTATGAATAACACTATTGTCAATGTCAATAAGAATTAATTCTTCTTCTTTAAAAATTGTATCTGCTTCCGCTCTATATGAACTAGGAAGTCCAAGAATATAAGGAAATGGTGAAGTTAAATATTCTAATAATATTCTAGGAAGAATTGGAACACAAACACAAACCCATTGTAATGGAAATAGTAATAATTTAAAATTTTCAATTGTTCTTACTAATAATGAATTATTTGATGAAGTAAAAACAATTCTTTCACCAAGAAGAATATAATTCAATATTTGTATAATTGTAGTCTTATTAAAATAAGAAAATAATTCTCCAAGAATAAATGGTGACGATGGTAAATCATTTACTTTAGGAAATGTTATTGTTATTTTCTTTTGATGAATTTGAACTTCTTGAGAATTTCCTAATGCAATTGGTTGTGTTTTATTAAAAATTGAATCAAATGCATCAAAAACTGCATTATTACCTATTTTCCCACATTTTAAAAAATTTTTATTATAAATTCCCCATAACCATTCACTCATTTCATTAAATAACGGATATTCGCAAAACAAAGCTAATGCTCTTGGGAAATATAATTCTTTAATTTTACAATCTAATCGTTTACATAATGCATTTGATTCACTTTCATTCATCTTTTCATAACTAACTAAGAACATAGCATATCTACATGTTCCATCAGCATCTGTCATAACAAATGGTTTTAATTCTGCTTCTATAGGAAATTCTGATAATCTAAGTCCATCAGGAAAACAAAAAAGCCAAATATTAGACGGTATTTTATCATACTGAGATGGATACATTTCTTTAATTTCTCCAGAAAAAGGAATGAGTAATGGATCAGTTTGAGGAGTTTCTTCATCTCTAAAATAAATTTTTAAATCTTCCATAACATCACAAAGTCCTATTGCTGCAACACCAAGAAACATACCATTTGGAGAACACAATACTTTTGGTTTTTGTTTAGTTTTAGAAATATGTAAATAATTTTTTCTTGAAGGTAAAGGAATAGGAGATTCTTCAAAAAAACGATCAAATGCACGTAGTATTACCCAACGTTCACCAACTTTTTTAACCCGTGGAGGTTTAGTCAATTCAGATCTAGTTAATCTTAAATGTAAAGCAGCAACAATACCTTTAGGAGAAACAACTGAAATCCATTCATCTATTGGAATATCAATTCCAAGTTTAGATGTTTTCATAATAATTGATCCAACTTCTATTGGTTTTTTACCAAATCGTTTAATTTTAAATAAAGAAAAAATTAATTTCTTTGATGAAGTTAATGGACCTGCACGAAAATTGAATGTTGGGTTAATACTTTTTTGTGATAATTTAGTTCTCAATATTTCATTATTAATATTGCATTCAACAAAACAATGACATTCTTCAGTTAATTTTGCTTCAATAATATCTACATAAATAACAAATCCATTATCATTTGATAACTGTGACATGTAGTCTTTTTAAGATACTTTTCAATCAATTTTTTTTAGTTCTTAAAAGAAAAAGTTATTGGAGAATAAACTACATTATTCATAAAGTAAGAGTGGAATAAAAATTTAATTTTAAAAGAGAAAGAAGTTATTTAATCCAATATACTTTAAAGAGAGAAAGTTGTTGGAACAGTTGGTGAAGCTGTTGTATATTCTGCATATATTGTTTGTGAAATACGATACGCTGTAATAGAATTTGGGCATTGAATAGCTAATGGAGAAGAAATTAAATGGCTAAGAAGAGAGTTAATAGTATTGAGTATAGATAATGATTCATTTGACAATTGAGAAGGTCCTTGAACTTCAGCAAATTTTTCCAAAGAGTCAATAACAATTTCAATCTAAGAATTAATATCAAATCTTTTAATAAAATAAATAATAAATAAAAACAAACTTTAAGAGTTGTGCACTGAGTTTCAATATTACTAAGAATAATTAAAGAAATATTTAACCATTCTTTTGGTTCTAATTCACATTGGAAAAATTCATCACAATGAATTTGATACAAACGCTCTATTTCATTGGCACTTTTATTTTTAATGAATTGAGATAATTGTTCTTTAGTTGTGGTAACTAATTTTTTTTTATTTAATACATATCCTAATTGTTGATTTAATGATTTTTGTGTATTAGCAATTTCTTCACTTTTTTCTACATTTTGTTCCATAATACTTTTATATTCTTTTAATGAACTAATCATTTCTTGTACTCTCATTTTCATTTGTTTTAACTCTTCAAATTTTAATTTTTTAGCTGCATTTTCAATAACTGTTTTAACGTCTTTTGATTTAGCATTATAAAGAGTGTTTAATTCAATCATCTTTTCTCGAATTTCTTTTAATTTTTGATCTCTTGTTTCTTTACCCATAACTACATCAAACCCTTTTTCTTCTTCATTTCTAGTTTCATCCAATAAATGAACATATGTCTTCTTCATAACTTCAAGAGCACTTTTATATGACTCTATTTCCTATTTTTTGTTATTAACTTTATTTTATTTATTTTATAATTTCAATTTATCAAACTTCATTCATTGTTTTAATTGCTTCTTTTAATTTTTGTTCAAATAATCGTTGGTCTTCATTTTGTTGTTTTGACATTAAATCCATTCTTGAATTGAAATCTGTTTGTTGTGTTGATTCAATTTGTTCTTCTTTTTTTCTTGTAATTAGATTTTCTTCTTTTTTAGTTTAAAGCTAAATAAACCTAACAAACAAATCAAAGTCATCTTGTCGTGAGTTGTTATTAGACATTAAATTCTTTCAATAATTCTTTTTAAGTTTTTTTATCTATTCTTTAATTATATTTTAATAATAAAAATATTATATTTTAATAGTTTTAAAAAAGACTTAATGAATGAATGAATCACTTATATATGGGATCTAATGGTAAACTTTCTTCAAATATTAACGTAGGTTGGTCTTCTTTCTTTGTTAACTGATATTTTATAAATTTACCTGTTTGAGAAATACCAATAATGCTGATATGTTGAAGTTGTGGACAATGGAAGAATACAAGAGTAAATACATCACTTTCCATTGTACATTCGCATTTACTATACAACCCAGTGTCTTTCATTATTAATGAAAGTTTACTTGGTCTGTTATAATTTTCTGAATCTCCTTCAACACCATAAATGTGAACTGTTCCACGATTTGAATTTGTAACAATAAGTTCACTGTTTGGTGAAAAATTAAGACTATACACATCTGCTTGACTTTGACCTCTTCTGAATTCATTTTTTTGTTTTAGTGTATTAGTATCCCATACTCTTAATAATGTCCCTTGTGCACTTGCAGTAACTAAAGACCGTGAATCTGGTGAAAATGCCATTGTAGAGACCATGTGAATGTGAGCTTGTACTTCTCTTTCACTTTGTGTTTCTAAATTAACTAGTTTTATACTTCCTTCTTGGTATGAAGGAAAAGCAATCATTTTGCCATCATTACTACTTACTGCAATTAGCCCTTTATTATTCATTCCAGTATCATATTGATACAAAGGTCTTAAATCTTTAAAATTATATACATAAATTTTCTTGTCTACAACAACAAATAAATAGTTTTTTTGTAATTTAACTGACCTTACTTCTGTTGGATAATCTAATATCCCAAATGGCTTACCTTGGTAATCGTCCCAAATAATTACTTTATTGGGTTCATACGCTGGGTTTGTTCCTCCTCCAACTAAGGCTAACATATTTGATTTGTGATAAAGTTCTATAATTCCAACTCCTCCTTTTAGTGTTCGTTTAAACCGTTCTCTAAATCTACCATTTTCTATTCCAAACACACGAAACCCAACAGTGGTTCCAATGGCAAAGCATGAAAAGTCTTGGTTGATTGAGATAGTAAGGATCTTTGGTACTTCCATCTTTAGAATTTTCAGTTCTTCTTAGAAAAACCAACTTCTTTTTAAATTTCTGTTATTTTCAATATATATGAAAAGAACATTTCTTCTTCTTTTGGTCATATCGTGCTGTTGTCGTACTAACTTTTTTCAAAAGAACAACTCTTTATATCTTTTACTTCAAACAACAGACTAAATAACTAATTTTCTTTTAGTTTAAATACTATTCTATGAAATTAATAAAAAAGCAATAAATTCCAAAATCATGAACACTTTCATTTGGCTTTGATTTTTCTTTTCAACAATAGAATAATACATAAAATTCATGGATTTTTTTATTCAAGAAGTTATGTCCAGAATCTCTTTCATTAATGTATGATTTTATTGTATATTAACGTAATTAATATTATAAATAATTTATAAAAATAGAAATTTATCATAAAAATAAATATTTTGTTTGATAAGAAATTCTTTTAACAACAAGTCATTTTCTTTTTATTAAATGTTTCTATTTTTATCTTAAATAGATATTTAAATGATTTTAATATTTTTTCGTAAGTCTAATTGATATTCTAAAAATTATAATTTTTAATATTTCATTATGGAAAATACAAAAAAAATGTTTCAATAAGTCAGAGCTGAATAAATCCTTGTCATTAAAAACTATAACATGTATTTCTTATCATATGTTTGAATTTATTAATAAATATAAAAGAACCTTGATTATAAAATGAATAAAAAATATTAGTTTTTAAATGTTTATTACCATTTCAATATTTATTAATTAATTCAGATAAATGAATTAACTAATTATATATAACTGATATATAGAGATATAAATAAAATATCATGGTTATTCCTATGATAAAAAAAGGAGTGTGTGTATAATTTTTATGTATGTTTTGGAAGTGTTATAGGAGGAAAATTAACAAAAAGTATTTACTGGTAAATCATTCAATTATTTTTTAATAAAAATTATTCAAGATTAGAATTTTTAATACAAATTCAACTCTATTTAAATAAAATAATTTAAAATGAAGACTATAAAAGAAAATGCTCGAAAGAAAATGAATAAAAAGATAAGTCTAAGAAACTAAATGATATCCAAGATTAATTCAGTCGAGTACATTGTCATCTATTAAATGAATGAGAAAAAGAAAGAATAACAAGTATTAAACAATAACCAAGTAACTATTATAATCTATGAAAATCTGATAAAAATATTTTATGAAGGTAATGAAATAATAGTTAATGTTGAATTTATTAGTATAGAACAGTTGAAATTAAAACTAAGTAATGACATTTGATAAAAAGAATTAATAAAACAATACTTAATAAATACAATTGTTTATTAGCAATAATTAAAGTATAAACTTTAATGAAAACAAAAATAACAGTTATATTAACTATTTAGTTAAAAATAAAAGAATGATGTTTAGCATAAAAAATAAAAAAGATAGAATCGTAATCAAAAAGGAATGAAGGGAATAATACAACAATTAAAAATTGCACACTATTCAAGAATAATGAATAGAAGAAGTTCTAAAACCTAAAAAAAATCTTTTTTTGGAATAGTCATTACTTTCTTTGACAATTTTGTTTTTGAAGACTAAAAGACCAAAGAATACTACATAAGTCAAAACAATAGTCACATAACAAAAACCAATTTTATATTTTTACCAAATAAAAGAAAAAAATGAATAGATATTATCTCCAGTAAAAAAGCTCAAAGAAATAATTATTTAAATCAAAAAATTACATACAATTAATCTAGTTCCAATTAAAAAGTTCCTTATTAGGATTCTCTTTTAGTTAAGTTCATGATAAGTCAGATTAAATGAAAAAAGAAGTATTTATCATTTATTGGTTTTGTTGTTATCAGATTATAACCTAGTTTTTTTTGTCTCACTGAAACATTTACTAAGGTTTTTATAATGAAATTGAATTTTAAGATATAAACTATTACACCTAGGTAATGGAATTAATTGCAATAATACAATATATTCTAATTAATTACTAAGTAAACAAGATATACGTGATGATTTATTTTCTTCACACGTTTATCATAAACAAAATAATGTTATTTAATTCGTTTTTAAGATAAAAAAGGAGATATAATAAATTAATTATAAATTATAGTTTTCTTAAAAAATAAAAATAATTAAAAATAAAAAAACTCAAAAGAAAGAAAAGTGATTGACATGAGTGTTAATACAATGAATCTTCAACAACTTGAACAACTTGCAACTCAAATGTATTCTGCACAAACAAACCAAATCATAGATTTCAGTCCAACACAATCTCAACAAATATTATTTGAAAGTAATAATATATATGCACAAGTTTGTAAATTTTTTTTATCTAGAAAGAATGTGTGATAGGACAAAAGTAACATAAATAGATTCATGCATTGAAATCATTTAAAAAAATGGCTGACACAATTTCTACTACAATGGAACAAAAAATTCAAATTAAACAATTCATTTATGAATTTCTATCAAAAAGAATTGGTTCATTAAGTTCACAAACAATTAATATTGCAATCAAAACTTTTGTTGACCTTCTTAAAGCTACATGGTTTGATGATCCACAAAATAAAACTTTTATTAATGGGTTGAAAGATAATACATTAAAAGATCCAAACTCAATACCATTTGTCTTTACTTTATTAGTTGAATTAACTGATAATATGTCTAATACACAAAATTGTACTAATCGTAAAGCTACTATTAATTATAAAGACAATTGCCTTAAAGATATTTTTTCATTAAGTTTAGAAGTATTTAATTTATTATTACAAAAGAGGCCATCAAATATTGAACAGTTAATGTTATCAACAATGAAATTAATGCTTTCTTGTCTTAAATATAATTTCCTTGGAACTAATATGGATGAAACAACAGAAGATATTTATACTGTTCAAATACCAAATGACTGGAAGAACTTTTTTGAAGATATTACTTTTGTTCAACAATTATTTAATGTGTATTTCAATTGTAAACCTCCATTAACTACAATTATACTCGATACTATAGGGTATATCTCTTTGATTAGAAAATCGTTATGGGCAAGGCAAGCAGATGGATCAGGACTACAACATTGTTTAATTGATGGTGCATCAAAAATTGTACAAAGTGGATATGGTCTAGATAATTCAGAGACTCGATTTGTTTTTTGTAGATTCTTAGATAGATTAAAAACTAATCACCCTATTCATCAGATTATTACAACACAACACATTAGTTGTTTCTCTCAATTTACTATTAACACATTTAATAATTGGTCAGATAATAAAAATGCTGTTCTTTATTTACTTTCTTTTTGGAATAAAGTCATCACTTCTACTCAGCTTAACGGAGACACACAAACAGAGACATTATTAAATCAAACAGCATTATGTTTATCTCAGGCATTAGTTAATTCACTCTTACAATTTTTTGAAGTAATGGATTATTCTGATGATGATACTGTTATCGATGAAGAAGAATTTAAATTACAAGATTATATGGAAACATTAAGTTCACTTGCAAAAGCACAGTATAAAGAAATGGCAGGGTTTTTAACAGAACGTATCGAAGTTATTGTAAATACTTTATCACAAATATCTAATGCTACTGACTATAATTCTCCATTGAGAAAAAAATTAGAAACCCAAATGTGTTGGTTATTAACTGTAATGAATGCAATGTTAAATAGAACATATAGTAATGGAAATGATAATGAACAAATTCAAGCTGCATTAGTTGGTAAAATTTTCAGATGTATGAATTTAACTGACTCTATCATAAATTATGTAGACAAAACAAATCAAAAATCAATTGAAGTAAAAGTAGAATTTGAATATATGAAATTCTTTGGTAATTTTAAAAATTTATATATTTCTGCATCACAGTATCGAACTGATACAATTCAACCTTTAAGAGAAGTATTAGGAATAGATAAAATTGAAGATATAGTTGGTAAAATTATGCAAAAGATTTCATTTAATTTAACTTCATTCCCAAGAAATACATCACTTATTGATAAAACATTAGATACATTCTTACTTTTTGTTTCTTCTTGTTCACAAAGTAAATTTATTGCATCCTTACCTTTTACACAACAACTAATGCAAAATCATGCTAATAGATATTTTGATTTCTTATCTCAATCAACAACTAATGAAGAACTTGTTAAATTAAGAAGAAAATATTATAGTATTCTTGGTAAAATATTATTCCAAGATGAGAGTTGTGACTTTATGCAGTTTATGAGACCATTTGATACAAAATTGAAATTCCTTATAACAAGTATTCAATCAGGTACATTTAATAATGATTTAGCAAGTAATGTTGATATGTTATTATCTATTTTAATTGATTTACAGGGATTATTAACTGTTGCAACAACCGCATCTCAATACATTAAATTCTTTGAATGGTTCTTCTTTGATTATTATGAAAATGTATTGTTCGCTGGAGTCGATGCTAATGGATCATTATTCTTTAATCAAGTTACAACACGACAATGCCCATTATTGTTATATAATACTCTCAAATTTTTAGTTCAATTTACTAATTCAACATATAATCGAATCAATTTCTCTAACTCATCTCCTAATGCTATTTTATTATTCAGAGCAATAGTTAGTACTATTAAGATTATTATACCATTATTACCACTATTACCAGAAAAGTTATTTGATAATTCTATTCCACGAGTATTCACTATCTTTAATAATTTCTTGACTGGTAATTTTATTCCATATGGTGTTTTAATTTATTATAATGACCCTGCTCTACCTTCTTTAATGCAATGTATCATGTTAACTTTATTTGCAATTCCATTAGATAAAATTTTCCAAGAATCAAAATTTAGAGTAGTAGTCTTTACTACACTACAAGGAATGTTTAGTGTATTATATAGATTTATCTTTTCTTCTGATATTAACACATTCCAAAAACTATTAATGATATTGATTAATGGATTACAGTCTACTGACCCAAACATCATTCGTTCATCTATGAAGATTGTATCTCAAATCTTTGATACTTATGACTCAGTTCAAACACGAGAAACAGAAAACTTTGCTTCATTTGAATCTCAAATTGGAAAGAGTCAAAGTTATTTCAAAGAAATGATGAAAGCTTCTATGGAAACAATGTTATTTACAGAAGGATCAAATCAACTAAGAGGAGTAAATTGTTTAGTTCAACTTATAAAACATTTCCCTGTCTTCTTTACTGAATATAAAACTGCTTTATTTAATTCTCAAAAAACAGAACAACAAAAACAATTAGTACTAGAAAAATTTAAATTGATTGAAGACGGGGTGAATGAATCTCACTTCAATGATATTTTGAATAAAGCTTTGAACGACTTAAAGGGAAACCTCAGTTCTATTAACTAATTTTCTTTGATTTTTAATTTTGTTTTATATTCCATTTTCTAACAAACGAAACAAAACGATATTTCTTTTATCCTTATCTTCTCATTTACTTTGTTATAAAAAATAAGTAAAAAATATGATGCCCTCGTTTTTGTTCTAAAAATAAAGAAAAAATAAAGGAAAATTCAGGTTTATTAATTATAACCCAAAAAAAAAAGAAATAAGGGAGGTATTTAAAGAAAAATCTAGGATTAAGGTACATCAAATAACGGTATTATGAAATACCAACAATTTATTATTGCTACTGGAGGTGTTGGAGTTGGAAAGTCAACTCTAATTAGAAGATTAAAAAGAAGTTTACCAAAAGGAGAAAGTATATTTGTAAAAGAATATGTTGACTATAAACCAGTTGAAGCTAAAAAACAGTTAGAAGACACACTCAAAGGTAATGGATCAGTGTATGAATTCCAATTAAGTATTATAGATTGTTATAAACAACAAATGGAGCAAGCACAAAATAAAAAGTATGTAATTATGGAGAGAAGTCCAGCAGACTCTATTAATATTTTTGCAGCTGCATCCTATAGAAATGGTAAGATAAGTGAATTTGAATTTGAGGATTTAAAAGCCCGAGTAGAAAAGTTATATGATGCTTATAATATTCCTCGATTTGATGATTGCCATTTTACTAGAGTTGATAGTTGTAAATATTCTATTGAAGGAGTTTTTGAATTGGTAAAGAGTCAAGTCTCTATTTCATTGAAAAGAAAGCAAAGTTGTATTTTCTTTCTATATTGTAGTGATCCTCTTCAACAAAAGAGAAATATTGAAACCCGGGGGCGGCCTGAAGAAAAAGATTATGACATTAATTATATGATTAGTGTTAACGATGAATACCAAACTCTTTTTGCCAAATATTAAATATTTACAAATATATAAATCTTGTTGTTTCTTTACATAAATTAATTCTTTTTAGTCATTTTGTTTATTTAAAAAAATAAAAGAAATTATTACAAATATATTTACAGCTAAAATTTATTCTTTAAAACAATAACTTTGTACTGTAAGGAAATAGACTTTGTTAGTCTTACTATGAGTTGATTTTTCTAAAACACTTTTTTAGTGAAACGAGTTATCTAATATCTATTTTACATAATATCTTGAAGATGTTTTGGGTACTGTGTTATTTGTTAAATAAAATAACCCAGACTTTATTAAATGAATTTCAAAGATGGGTTGTTATTTAATACAACAAAAATCCTTTCAATGCACTGAAAATAATTTGTATATTAAAATTACTTCCATCACTATCAACATACAACAAATGAATAACATTTGCTTAATCTTTGTCTTTTTTTACTTTTTATATTCAAAAACCGATAATTTTTTTTTGACTTAATCTTTCTTTGAATTAACATGACTATTTTTGTTTAATACCTTAATTTTTTGAATAGTATTTGATTTAATAAAGAATTTTTCTTCTTATTGATATAAAACTCTTATTGTTAATATCTTTTTTTTGAGGTGTTTAATTGGTAATTATGAGGTTAAGTTATTTGGCTAAGTGATGTCTTTATTTTGTTTATCACTTCTTCTATATTCATGAACTTTATAATGTTTAATATTAATATCCATTAAAGTTAGCACATTTTACTCTATGATAATAAAAATAAATGAATTGTTTTCCATGGATTAAATAATTTTTTGAATAGTATTACTTTTGTTTTTCACTCACAGAGCTGAGTTATTCATATTTTTATTTAATTTTAAGTATTTAAAAAAGAAGTTATCAGAGATAACAATCATCATAACAACTTTTAAAAATAAATTAAAAAATATATTTGATTAATATACTATAAAATAAAACAAAATTATGAAGAAAAATACATTAAATTTTAGTTTGTAGACTTATTAATCTTCTTCCAGTTTTCGTTTTTTTGATGAGGCAATTGCCTCTTCACCTGAATCTTTTTTTGAACGTTTACGTTCTTCTGGTGGATTTTCAGCCATTTTAGCTTCAATCAACTCTATCAAAAAGTCAAAAACAGGAGTATTTTTTACACACTCATGCAAGTGTGATAAATTAACACTTTTCGACTTCTTTTCTTCTGCAACAGTATTTGTTTTTTTAATAAGGTCTACTAAAAACAGTTCAGTTGCACGAGCAATAACCATCGGTACATTCCCTGACATTTTTCCAACGTCTTCATCTTCTTGCATAATACGTTTAACTCGAGCAGCAGGTAATAACGTAGCGGTATTTCTTTTCATCGAAGATTTAATCTCATTCTATCCTTTTTAAATAATCTAATAGTGCTCTTTTAGGGCCCTTGTCCTCCCTTTAAATTGGTTTTGATTGTATTATATTTTTTCTTTACTTTTTTATATTTCTATTATTTATTTTTTATTAGTTAAATAACTAATTATACTATTAATTTTATTAAAATATTTTATTAGTTCTTTATTATCAGATGATTTTTTATTTTTTTATTTTCTTGCTTAGGAAATAGTTTTATTATAATAAATTAAAGTTAATCAAAAAGAGAGATTTATTATTTTACTTGAAAGTAAATAAAAAATAATAAAAGTAGATGAAAAAGCCAATAGAAAATTAAATAACAAAAAAGGGTTGTGAGAATAAAATTTTTATATCTAAAAATTTGGTATTAAAAAAAAAAAAGAAAAAATATAAAAAGCAAATCATTGACATTTATGCAAAACCAACTTATCTTTGCACGATTATTAAATGAAGATAATTCTATTGTCAACTCTGCATTAGATGAATTGGTTGAGTATGTGCAAAAATATAAAAATCATGAAAATGATGGATCAATAGTTCGATATTATTTAAAACATTCACCACGATGTAACGAATTAGTAGATACGTTCAAAATGAATGCAAATGGAACACCTGGATTTATTCAAGAGAAAGCAGTAAATGTTTTAATAGAATTCTTTTCAATGAATTTAGAAGAAGAGAAAGAAGTATTGCAAACAACAGTATCATATTTATTTGGAGAATTATTAACTTATTTTATGAAATGGTTAAGTAGTTCACGTCTTCATTCAAGAATAGCTTGTCTTAGATTAATAATTTTTTTATTAAGAAAAGATATTAAAATGTTTAAATTTGTTTACGCAAAAGTTGGTATTACTTATCCAATTTGGAAAGATATTTTTAATGTTGCTTCTAAAAGAGAAATATCTGATTTTAGGGAAGTAATTGTTGAATTTATTGATGTTTTATCAGATGGATGTAATTCTAAATTTGCGTTGACATATTTAAATGATTATTTAACAACAGCAAATCCATTGTCATTATTCATTTTAGATGCAATAAATGATACAGAAGATATTCAAACAAAATTACTTCAAGCATTAATAAAAATGTTAAAATCACCATATTTAAAAGATAAACAATTCTCATTCTTTTTTAAGAAAAATATTTTAACAGCATTGTATAATATGTTTATTGAACCTCAACCTATTCCTTTACTTAAAGAATTTTTTTATATGATTTATACTATTCCTGGATATATCACTCCATTAATCCCTACAAATAAACCAATACATTATAATACCCTTGTAAATGGAATGGAAAATTTTTATATGTATCATAAAGAAACAAGAAAATTAATGATATCTATCTTTAAAAATCAACCTGCAATTGTTGCTCAAATGTATTTAAGTAGTAAAAATTTTGGGTTTAATTTTACTAATGACTTACCTACTTATATTCAAACTTCTTTTTTATTAGAAATGTTAAACACTATGAAATTACCTGTAAATACTCTTAATATTTCTTCTTATGATTTTATTAAAGGGTGTTTAATTTTTATTCCTAAAACTGCTATTACTAAACTTGCTTCATTTAATAGATTATTTAAATACCAAGCTGCTTTAATATTATTTGCTATGGCTTCAAGAACTGAAGTTTATGCACAATCTACTCATGCTGATCAAATATTAATGGATAGTATTTGTCAAGAATTTCCTGATGCACACTCAATCTATGCTCTTGCAACTTCTCAATCATCGAACTTTGCTTTTATAAAATGTTTACAAACACTAGAAATTCTTCACAGAGTAAGTCCAACTGTATTTCATCATTCTACTTTAAGAATGGAACAGGTAGTTCTTCGTTCATTAGAGTCAAGTAATGAATTGGTTCTTTACAGAGGATTACATTTTGCTGCTGAACTTGGAGAATCTATTAATTGGATTAGTAATATTACTTCAAGTTCTATAACGAAAAAACAATTTCCCGCAATGATTATTCCTATTTCATTACGAGTGAATGAAGTAATAGAAGATTTTCCTTTACTTAGAGATGAATATAATAAGATTCTTGACCAGATAATTTTTAAATATTCTCCATATGAAAGTTTTATCTTTAGATCAAATTTAGGAAATGACATTAGTTCAATATTAAAATTTAGTAAAGCAACTCATTCAAAAACATTAAGATCAATTATTGATTCAAGAAATTGTTATAAAAAAATGCCACCTCAATATGACCTCCCTGCTTTGTTCCATTTTATATTATTAGGTCATCAAATTGGTATTGGTAAAACTAATGAAGAGAAATGTATGGTTGTATATTATCAAACTCTTCTTAATGATGAAGTAACAGAAATGCCTATAGATCGTAAAAACACATTAATCTCATTAATGAAAGAAAGTAAAGGATTTCAGAGAATTCAATTATTATTATGTTGTTTTAGATTAAGACATGAAATGGTATTTGATGAAGAAGTAAAACAATATTTAAGAGACAAATATCAAGTTAAACAAATAGATGATGGAGATGTTGTATATCATTTAAAAGAAGAAATTAAAGAATTGATTAATCAAATAGAATATCGTGAATTTTCTATTGAATGTGATGTAATTGATTCACATGTAACAAACATTTTATTACAATTAAATCATACAAAGAAATTATTTGATTCAAATATTTATAAAGTAATGGCAAATAATCTTATTGAATTATTGCTTATATTTTCTTCAAAGAAGAAAATGAGTAAAGAATTATTAGAAACAATATCTAAATCAATTATCCCATTTTTTAATCCATTTTTAACAAATGAAAATTATTATATTACATTATCTAAGCTATTCCTTTATTGTAATAATACAACTTTAACACCATCAAATATTCTTATTGAAACATTATTTAATGTCCAAAAAAAAACAGTTATAAAAAAGGTAATTTATAATAAATACTTTGGCAGTTATTTAAGTAAATTGAAAATTAATAAATGTGTTTTGAAAACATATCTTCTTTTAATTAAATTACTTCCACATTCTCAAGAACAACTCTTAAAAATATATGAAAATAAATCATTTATTCAAAAGTTAAAAATTGGATTATTAAAATTAAAAAACTATAAACATTTATTTGAGTGGTATTGGCAAGGAATTTGGAATGAGGAAAAAGAACAAACATTACAAATCATTGCTTATTTAGCTCAAAACAAAAAAGAATTTGTTCAATCATTAGTACTTCACAATTGTCCAATAAAACGAATTGATTCTTTTGAAAATATTTCCAAAGATATTTTAATCCCAGTTAACTTAATGATTTATTCAATTAATGATAAGACACCACTTTCTATTAACTTTGTATTAAGTAAATGTAATCAAAATATTCATGAAGAAGAAACATCACTTTATCTTAACTTATTGTTAGAAGAGTCTATTAGAAGTAATAAATATGAATGGATCACTCTTACATTAGAACAAATTCATGTTGTATTAAATACACAAAAAGTTTTTATTAATCCTTTAATTTTTAATCAATTAAAAGAATATATTTTACAGTGTGATGAACCAACATTATCTTTTATTAAAGAGTATACCAAAGTATATTATCCAATTGAAGAGTCATTGGATTTTACTCAAAACACTATTTTTAATACACTTGTAGCTCTTATAACTAAAGATGGTTCTTTTCTTAGAGATAAATCACAAGTTATTTTTAAAAAAGTTATTGAGCAACTTCAGAACTTTACTTTACAAGAGAATGAACATTATAAAGAATTAATTCATATTTGTTGTTGTATCATAAAATATATCAATTATAAGGAATTATTATCAAATGAAGAATGGATTAAACTAATTATTGACACTATCCAATCTACTAAATATGGATATGATATTGTTCCTTTATTACTCACAGTTGTAGAAAACAAAGATATTCAATCAGAAGTATTATTAAAAATTCAAGAAGAATCATTCAAACCTAAATGGGAATTACCAATAACTCACGACTTTAGTGTTTTATTAATAAAATTATATGGTCAAAAATCAAATAATAATCCAACATTTGATATGATGAAAATGATATATGAGAGTTATAATGGAACAATGTCAAATACAGACAGAATGATTTTTTATTTAATTATTCAATACTCCCCATTGTATCCAAAATTACCATTGGTTGCAGGAAGACATGGACTAGATTATAAGACATCAATCAATAGAATGTTTGATAATACTATATTCTTTAATAAAAAAGATATGGAATATAGTTTAAGTCATTTTCCATTTTCAAGAAAGAGTAATGAAGAAGATCTTTCTGTTTTAATACAAACACAAGATACAGAAGAGGAATATCCGTATGATCCATGCTATCTTTTACCATTAACATACCATGCATTAGACAGAGCTATTGTCTTTAAAAAATATATTTTCCAACCAAGGTCATATATTTACAATGGATTTCTATCATTTGCTATGATAGCCACAGCAGCAGAAGATGAAAATATTAGAAAAATGGGATATTCTATCCTTCAAAAAACACTCTATATTCTTAAGATTAAAACAACATTTTATAATTTTTGTCAACGTTCATTCATTCAAGCATTCTTATTTATATTTCGTAATTCAATTGATACTGCAAATCAACAAATATCTGCACCAACTGCAATATTATATTCTAAAATGATAATGGTTGTTGTTCAACAAGTTAGTCCATTATGGAAAGTAGTTAGTTCATATTTATTTAAAAGAAATGATTGTAAGATTGCATTAAATCCATTTAATTTCATGAATAGACTTGAAGAATATCCATCGACAGCAACACTATTATTATTAGAATCTTTGGCAGAATCTACTTCATTTTATCATTCTCTCCCTAGTTCATTTAAGTCAAGAAAAGTATATGAAACATTATTAGCAGAAATTTCTAATCCACACACTTTCTATTCTGACAGTAGACCTTCATTAATGCTATTAAATAAAATGATTCAAAAATGGGGTATTACAGATAGTTGTATATTCTATTTTGTTCAATTACTTCAAGGAAGAAATGCTATAAAACTAACACCAGTAATTATTGAGTCTATAAAATACATCGTTTCATTCAACTCATTTATTGAATCAACAAAGAACCAAATTCCTTTAAGTATTATAATAATCTTTTTATTAAAACAATGCAATTATTCTAATGAACTAAGTGAAGAGAATGCCCTAAATATGAAAGATATTCTTCAATCATTAAATCTTTCTTCTTCTTCTATTCCTCCAATATTTTCAGTATGTTCAATGGAAATACAAGACCAATTAATATCATTATGTTATTCATTTGAACAGAAAACAAAGAATGTCCACAACTGGTTTATTTGGAATTGAATTTAATTTAATTTTTTTTTTGTTTTAAAATAATACTGTAAAATGAAAGATTAAACTAAAAAAATAATTGAAATTAACAATGAAAGAAGTGCATTACTTTTTATCGTCCTTTTTACCAAATGAGAAGAATGAACGTTTTGGTTTAGGTGAAATTGATTGTTGATTTTCAATTAGAGTTGTTTGTTTCATTGCAACAGAAGATCGTGTAGGTAATGTACCGTTTCCTTTTAATGTACTAGTACTACTTAGTTTAGATGGAATATTATTAACAGGAGTGCTTTGAATAAATTTAGAATTAGAAGTTGTTGATGATGTTGGGACATTAGTAATTTTTGTAGTTAATGGAACAGAACCCATAATATTTTGATTGCTTGTACATGGAGATTGTGGTTTAGTTGAACTTGGTGATTGTGATGATGAAGAAGGTGTTTCTGGAGTTGGTGGAACCTTTCTGTCTTGTTTAGAAGAAGACATATGTTCTTCAGACCTATCTTCTGAATTTTCATTGGAATCATGTTTTCCAAAAAGACCTGAATTGCCGAATTTACCAAATGAGACACCTCTTCTATGTGCTCTATTATCTCCTTTTGGTGAAGTTTTTGTTGGTATTTTAGTTTTACTTTCATCATCGTCTTTCTTTTTCTTTTCTTCTAGTGAACTTATTTCTTCTTTTTTATGTTTCTTTTCATTCTTCTTTGTCTTTTTTGGTTCTAATATCAACGCAATACATTCTTCAACTATATCAACTATAACAAATTTTCCTTCCATTTCACTTTGTTTCATTGTTTCTTCTAAATCAACTAAAACCTTCTCTTTAAATTGTATTTCACTTGGTTTAGGATTCGCTTTGATAAGTGATTTTAATAACATAGCAAAGTTCTTCTTTGTTTCAATAAGATCACAAGGTACACTTTTTAGTATCATAGCAGTTCCCCTTAAAAATGTGGTTTTAGAATACATTAAGGTTAATTCATCATGATCATTTAACATTGAACAAAAATCTCTTAACTCTGACGCACAAATTCCGTCAGCGAAATTACATCTTTTGAAAGCATTTAATAAATGTAATACACATTTAGCTTCTGATAATAATTTTAATCCTTTTTTCTTATTTGATTCATACAATGCCCTGAAAGCAGCAAAAACATGAGGTCGAAGTACATTTCCTGCTGAATAATTAATAAGGAACTCTAAAGCATTATTTGTTATAAAGTCACTTGAACTTTGTTGTTTTGTTAATGAACGACTAACATCAATGATAATATTGAATGAATTCTCTTCAATAATTTTAGAGTTAGATTTAGCATAAATACAAAAATTCTTTAATAAAACAAATATACCTTGATATGATGATAATTCTAAACATACTTTATATTTTACTTGTAATGAACTACATAACATATCTAAACATTGTGTGACATTATTAATTAATCCATTTCTCATCATAAATTTTAATCTATTCTTTTTTGAATCAGGTGGATCAACAGCATCACATCTAAATAATACTTTAACTATAAAGAAAATAATCTTGGCATTTAACAATGTTGTGATAGTATCTGAATCCGAGTCAGTCATTAATATTTTGCATAATTTACATACATTAAACAATACATCTTCTTGAATAGATATATAATCTTTTCCATCATCACTTTCACCTTTAGGGATATTAGAGCTATCCATATTTCTCCATAATGTTCCTAATAAATCTGTTGTTACAATTTTTTGACATACAATTAATTTAATTTGTGTTTCATTTCTTAATACTGCATCAATAATTTGAATTAAAATTGTTATTGCATGAAGTGAAGCATCATATTGTTTATTTACAAATGTTTGAATAACAAATTGAAGTAATCCTTCAATAACTTTATATTTGATGAATAATAAAGTAATAATATTACGAGAACAAAAATCTATTCTCGTTTTAATATCACTCTGTGAATGTACAAATTTACTAATAACTTCTAATATAATGTTTATCGTTGTTTGGTGTTTTCCATCATATTTAAGTGTTAAAACCTGATAAAATAATGATAAGCCACCACAATTAATAAACATCTGAGCCAGTTGGTATTTATTTGTTTCGTCTGACATTATACATTGAATAAATTTAATTAATTCTTTCATATATGAATCATTTGATTTACCATGGGATAATCCAAAATTAACAATGCTTTGACATCCAGATAATACAATATTCATCCTCACCATAGAATTCTTTCCCATAACTGAATTAATTAATTGTAATGCCTTTACTCTTAATGGAAAGCAATTAATAAATTCTTCTTTTTCGAGTACAGCTAATATTGAAAATAGCCCAACTGAATGTATAACTCCTGAGAGATCAGTAAACGAAGAATCTTCACTAAGCATAAATAATTCATCAATAAGAATTTCTAACTTATGTGGTGTTTCTTTGGTAATACTTTCAATAAGTTTTGCTGATTCTTTTAATTTATTAATAAACTTTTCTTTTTTCTTTTTCATTGCTTCGTCATTTGTATCTAGTGCATCAATATCATCAAAACTTGGTACTTCTTCTAAAAATGGTTTATCTATCATTCCCCCTCCTTGTTTTACATCCACTCCAATTGCAACTTCTTTTCCTCCTGCTTTCTTAGCAACAATAACTTGTTTACCTTGACTAGTTAATTCATTGACAGTATCTTTTTTAAGTGTTTGTTCTATATAATTTCTTCCTGCAAGAGTTTTTCTTTTAGGTGGTTCTTGAACATTAATAAAATCGTCTCCCCAATCATCGATTCCTTTAGTAGTATTTGTTTTTCCATCTTTTTGGTCTTCAGGAAATCCAAAATCATCTCCCCAATCATCTCCTGATATGTCTTTTGAATTATTAGTTTTTCCAGAACTACTTTGCGTTAATTTACTTGTTTTAGATTCTGTAGGGAAAGTAAAAGCATCTCCCCAGTCATCATCATTAACATTAGTTTTCTTATCACTGTTAGCTGGTTGAATAGAGAGATCTTCAGGGAAAGAGAAATCAGCTCCCCAATCATCTGTTTTGTTTTCAACTTTTAAAGAAGTTTGACTTTTCTTTTTGTCATCATTTTTTATAGGAGAGAAATTAAAATCATTATCCCAATCGTCTCCATTTAATGTAGATGTTCCATTATTTTGTTGTGAAGGTTGTTGAAGAGTAGTAGATGAAAATGAACCAAAATCACTATCCCAATCATCTATATTTGTTCCAGTAGATGAGATATCGATAGCACTAGATTCTTTTTTACTACTTGGAAATATAAAATCATTTCCCCAATCAGCAGTAGTATCAACAACACTTCCCATATAAGAAATAGTTTTCATATTAGTTTTTTTAACTTCCTCTACTACTTTAATTCCATTTGTAATAAACCATTTATGTTTTAATAATTCCCTTGAAGATGCTCGTTGATTTGGATTTCTTTTAAAACATGAAAATAAGAAATCTTTTAGTTGTACTGATACAGTACTTGGGAATGGTGGATAATCATCATTAACTATTTTATATAAAGCTGCCGTTGGATTTAAATCATAATATGGTGGATTTCCTGTTATTAATTCAATAATAGTACATCCTAATGCCCATATATCTGCTTTAACTGTAGTTCCTTGCATTTGAATAACTTCAGGTGCCATCCAATTTGGTGTTCCAATTGGATCTTCATCACTTCCTCCTTCTTGCTTTTCATTTCCATTCATTTGAACACTAACTCCAAAATCTGCAATTTTTACACTTCCATCCTTAGCAACAAGAATATTAGCTGCTTTAATATCTCTATGTACAATACCTTGGTCATGAATAAATGCTAATCCATCTAATACTTGATGAATATATTTTGCTGATAAACTTTCATTTAAATGATTAAATTTCTTTACAATATTTAATAATGAACCACTTTCCATATATTCCATTATGATATAAAGAAATCCATGACTTTCTGTTGATGCAATGTATCTAACAATGTGTTTGTGTTTTAATTTTTTAAGTAATCTAATTTCTTCCATAACTTCTTTCATTACTGATTTTTTATTTACTTTCATTTGTTTAATTGCAACAAATTCTCCACTATCAGCATTCATTCCTTGAAACACCTCTCCATATGCACCTCTTCCAATTGAATTAGCAATTGAAAAGACAGATCTTTCGTTATCTGTTTTTACAATTAATTGTTTAGTAACCATTGGATCATCTCCTTCTTCTTCTTCTACTTCTTCGTATTTCTTATTTTTTTTATGCCTCTTTTCTTTTTTTAGTTTTGCCTCAGTTTCATCTTTCTCTTTTTTGTCTTTTGTTGTTTTTCCTTCTTGGTTTGTTTCCTTTTTGTCTTCTTCAACATTAGGTTTGTCAATTGTTATTCGTGTTGGTAGTTGCGGAATAACTTCTTTTACTTCATTCTCATCCATTAACAATTGATGACCAGCTGGTAATGTAGAAACAGATGTATTAGGTATATGATTAGATCTTGGACTCTTAGGAGATCCAATCCCATCACTAGGTATTTGTTTCTTAACAGGGATTTTAGTTTGTGATTGTTTTTCTTTAGTGGTTGTGTCTTCTTTACTTGAGGAAGTACAATTTTTTAGTTTGCTTGACTTTTTCGGATTTAGTGCTTTTCTTTTAGGAATATCTGAAATCTCATCAACCTTTTTTTTCTTACCTCCAAGTTGTTTTCTTTTTGGTGGAATTTCAGACTCTGTTATTTCTTTTATTGTTTGTTCAGTATTTGCATGAGTTTCAATAACTTCGTCTTCTTTTGTCATTTCCTTTATTTCTTTTAGTTCCTTAATAATATCTTTTGGAAGGTCAGTTATTTCTTTTAACTCATTAACACCTTCTTTGGGTAGAGATTCTTCAGTTACTTTTTGTGAGTTATCTTTTACTTCTTGTTTTTGAATTTCATCTTGAACTTTTTCTTCTAAATTTTTATGTGTTTCTTTTAGTTTCTTTACTTTTTTCTTTCCTTTTAAAGGTTTTCTTGGATTTAGTTGTTTTCTTCTCACACTTTTTTCGATTCCATCATAATCATCATCAGTTGGTTCGTTATATTGGACGTGATTAAATTCTTCGTCATTCAATATATTATCGTTTATTTCTTCTTTAATTTCATTTCCTTGAGGAGTTGTTGTTTTTATTTCTTTTTTTTCTGATGACTTCTTTTTATCTTCTTTTGAAATAGTAGATAATCCTGTTGTTGGGTTTTTATCTGTAACAATTTCATTTCCTTTTTTTGAACTTTTAATTTGTGGTATTGTTGGTTTCTGTTGTACAGAAGGTAGTGTGTTACTTGTTTCTTCTTTTTGTATACTTTGAACTGGTGCATTCACTCGTAATCGTCCAGTTGTTCCATTACTATTGACAACACTCATTCGTGCGTTTAGTTGTTTTTTAGTTCATTCTCAATCAAAACGTTTTATTTTCCTTTTTTTCTTTTCTAAAAAAAACTTTTTTCCTTAAATTCCCGAATATATTGAGACACGAATGAAAGAAGTGAGAAAAACAAATTAGAAAAAAGAAAAACAAAATAGTATTTAGCGTTATTTTTATTTACCAAAAAAAAAGAAATAATTTAAAGTTTAACAATTAGCAAGTTTGTATAGACGATTCTAACTTTTCGATAATTGAATCAATCGGGAGTCTTTCTTTTGGTTCTTGTGCCCAACAAAGTGTGATTAGTTTGTAAAGTGGTTCTGGGATATTGTCTGGTCTTTCTCTTCTTTGACCCCTATTAATAAAATCAGCAATAGCCCATGGGAATTTGAATAATAATTTTGGATAACACTCACCCCAGTGAAAAGTTTCATACATAGTAATACCAAATGAATAAATGTCTGCTGCTTTTTTATATTTTTGTTGTTGTAAAATTTCTGGAGCCATATAAGTTGGTGTTCCTATTCCTTTAGTAAAAGTCATATTTGTCATCATCATATTAATATTTCTTGATGAACCAAAATCAGTTAATTTTCCATTTACTTTTGAAGATTCATCTATTGATAATACTAAAACATTATCAGGTTTAATATCTCGATGTAATATTCCATTTGAATGAAGGTATTGAATCCCTTTTGCAGCATCTATTAATATTTTAATTTTCATAAACAAACGTATGTTTATATTTTTTTCTTTTTTCATCATATCTTGTAATGATCCAAATTCTGCAAATTCTGTTACCATACATATTTTGTTAGGAATAAATACTGCTCCATAAAAATGAATAATATAATCACATCTAAATTTATCTAACATTGATATTTCTTTTTCAAATTCTATTAATGCATCTTCATCATCTTGTATATCTTTCATTCTTTTAATAGCAACTTTATTTCCTCTAAAAATTCCAAGATAAACTATTCCAAATGTTCCTTCTCCTATTTTCTTTTCTTGAACCAATTCATCTGGATCAAGTTTGGTCGTCATTTCTGTTTCAGTTTTTATTGTGACTGGTTCCACTATCTCCTTTCCTTCTTTCATATCAAATCCAATTACTGATAACTTCTCTTCTATCTTACATGTGCACAATGGTTGAATAAAAATTTCAAACTCACACGCATACCCTCCATCAAGTGCAACTAATGGTGGTTGAATTCTTAAAAGGAACTTATCATTTTGTTCTTTAGATGTAAATTGAACTTTGATTTCATTTTTCCCACTATTACCAACACATATTATATCTTTTGTTTCACTTCCAACAGGTAAAAATACAGTTTCACAATCAAATGTTATATTTCTCTTATTAATTACTAATGGAGAATTTGGACTAAACTCTGTAAATTGAACATTACTATATTTCATCTTAAAGACACAGATTGCTTCTGCACTTCTTTTTTTTATACTACGCTCTATTCTAATGAAAAGAATTAATGATATTGTCGTAATAATAATTAACAATATAATAATACCTGCTAAAACACATCCAATAATTATACCTGTCATTGATTTTTCTTCACATTTTAACCTATTATCACTCAATTTGTATCTTCTAGAACATAAAACACAATGCTCATTCTCTTCCTGTAAACAGTTTGATACATTGGTGTAATAAGAACATGAGAATATTTTGCTTTCTGATGACCTGATAAATCCTTCTTTACATGATGTACATGAATCATCTCCACTTTCTTTGCATGTTTTACATCCTATCCCACATTTTTTACATCGTCCATTAGAAAGATATGTACCTTCTTCACATTCTGTACAACCTTCCACTGTAATATTTGTACAATGAGTTAAACTAATTGTTGATTCACACCAAAGCATATCAGGAGTCTTGAAATATCCAGTAAAACATGAAGTACAGAAATCAGGTTTTACACAACGACATCCTTCTGGACATACATCACACATTAATGAAGAATTTCTATAATATCCTTCTTTGCACTCTAAACAACTTTGAGTATTACCTATAATAAATCTATTACAATTTCCTGATGATGAAACACAATCACCATTACTTAAATAATATCCTGGTTTACAAGAACTGCACTGATTTAATGATGTACAAGAACTACACTCTTCTTTACATGCTCTACATGTTGTAGTAGTAGAATCAAGATAATACCCAGTTTGACAACGAACACATCCAATTTCATTTCTTACCAAGCAACTATTTTCTATTTCTGTTTTAATATTACTTTTCAATCCTACTGGATAATAACAAAGTCCATTTGTGACACTACCGTCACACTTAATACATTGGTTGTTCTTTTTAACAAATGAACTAACACATTTTTCACAATCAGTTCCAACTTGTTTAGCACAGTTAGGTACTACAGTTTCAATACATTCACCAGTATCACTTAAATAATAATTTTCACCACATATTTTACAAGTTGTTAAATTAACATCAATTCTTTCGCATATATCAACCCCATTGACTGTTCTTAATTTACAAGTTTGGTTGGTTTTGTATCTTTTTGTAGTGTCACATGAAATACAAGTATTTGCGCTTCCTTCACATTCCAAACATTCTTCACTACAAGGAGAACAAATACCTCCTTCAATATAATAATGAGATTCGCATTCAACACATTCATTTCCAATGTATTTCTTACAATTTGGTATTGATGAAACGCATTGAACTGAGTCTGAGTATCTATTTAAATAATAATATTTATCTGAACATTTAAGAGGATATACTTTCTCTTTATAAATTCTACAAAAAGAAGTGCTACCAACTTCAAATTCATTAAGACATGATTTGATCTCTTTTGAAGAGACATCTTGGTAAAAACCTTCTTTAGTAAAACAAACTTCTCTATTACATTGAACATAATTTGATAATTCAATGCAACTATTAGAATTTAATAAATACCCGTCTTTACAAAGGATACACTCTTCATCATTTAATCGTTGTTTACTTTTATCACATGTTTCAGCTGGTGTATTGATATGTGAACATTTTGGTTTGTCTGTTATTAGAGAGTTACAGTTTTCACCACATGTAATATCAATATTTTCTGTTGTTGTCGTATCACACTCTTTTTGAACACAAGAACCCTGATAAAGTATATAAGAGTCTTCACAAGAAATGCACTTACTACTAGAAACACATTTCATACAATGTGATGAGCATGAGCCACAAAGATGAGAAGATGGGTCAAGGTAATACCTGTCTTTACATGCACCACACTTTTCTGATGTTGGATCACAAATTTCACAACCAATATTATTCTCACATTTAACACACTTGGTCTGGTCACTAGCTAAGTTAAATCCTATTTGACATTTTAGGCAAACTCCACTTTTAGCAGAACAACTTTGACAATTTGAATCAAGAGTAGAACACTCTTTACAAATACCATTTTCAGGATAATAATTATTAATACAGGTAGTACATGTTCCATCAGAAGTATTACAATCATCTCCACAATTTTTTGAAGAACAGGTAGAACACCCATTTCCATTTGGATAATATCCATCTTCACAGGTTAAACATTCATTTGAGTCAGTAGAACATGTTTTACAGTTTGGTTTATTGGAACATCTTTTGCATAAGTTCCCATCTAAATAATATTCTGATAAACATAATGAACAATCTCCATTTTCAGAATCACATTGTTCACATCCTTTTGAAGAACAAGATAAACAAACTAATCCATTTAAATAGTAATTATCTTTACAGGTTAAACAAGCTGCTTGAGTATTTGAACATGAAGCACATCCCATAGTGTTAGAAGAACAAGCAACACAAATACCATTTTCAGGATAATAATCATTAATACAGGTAGTACACATTCCGTTAGAAGTATTACAATCATCTCCACAATTTTTTGAAGAACAAGATAAACACTCCCCCTCATTTGGATAATATCCGTCTTCACAGGTTAAACATTCACTTGAATTAGTAGAACATTTTTTACAATTTTCTTTATTAGAACACTTAATACATGAACCCTCATCTAAATAATATTCTAATAAACATAATGAACAATCTCCAGTCGTTGAATCACATGACTCACACCCTTTTAAAGAACACTCTTCACATCCATTTCCATTTGGATAGTATCCACTTTTACAAACTAAACATTCAGTTGAATTAGTAGAACAAGTTTGACAATTTGAATCAAGAGTAGAACACTCTTTACAAATACCATTTTCAGGATAATAATCATTAATACAGGTAGTACATGTTCCGTCAGAAGTATTACAATCATCTCCACAATTTTTTGAAGAACAGTTCAAGCATTCATCCTCATTTGGATAATATCCATACTCACAGACTAAACATTCACTTGAATTAGTAGAACACGTTTTACAATTTTCTTTATTAGAACACTCAATACATGAACCCTCATCTAAATAATATCCAAAAGAGCAATTAGTGCATATACTATCTGTATAATTTTCGCAGTTATTGGAAAGACATACAGTACAAAATAATAATAATAATCCAATAAATGAGGTGACATTCATTTTTTAGAGTTAGTAGTTTTAAATTATTCAAGATGATAAATAAATAAAACTAAAACAAATAACTGACTCATTTTTTCTTTTAACTTGTTCTAATCTTAGACGTTAGATTTTTCATAAATTATTGATTGAATTTCTTTATTAAAATAATAATTAATAATGAATAATAACACCCTTATTTTTATCAAAAAAATACCACCACCTTAAGTATAATACTATTATGACAAACTACAAATCCCTTTTATAAATTTGAATATAAGTATTACTTTTTTATTAATAATACTTTCACACCCTTTATGTGTCTATATTTGATTGACAAAAGCATTCCATGAGATATTTTTAGGTTCGGAAGAACCTGAAATTAGTCCAAAATACTTTTTTGTTTATTTCCAACAAATCTTAATTCGAATTACTTTTAAAAATTCTTAAATATTTTTTTTAAGTTATTGATTATGAAATGATTAATTTTTTAAAAAACTAATTCCAACACAACATCACTTGTGAGTAATTCATTCATACCAATTTTTGCTATTTATTTGAAAATGTTATAAGGTTTATCTTTTTTCCTGTTCATTAAAACCAAACAGAACAAAAACGAAGTTGTTTATGACCTCTTTTCTAAACAAAGTATCTATTCAATAATTTTATTTTTTTTCATAAGTGAGATTTAACTTAATAAAGTAAAATAATTATTATTAATTTATGATATAGAAATAAATATTATTCTTGAACTTTGTTACTAAATACTGTTGCAGTATATCTCATTTCAAACAAGATTAAAATTATATTTATTCTATTCTTTTTCTAATAAATACTTAACAAAAAAAAATATTCAATAACCCAACTCCAATTTAACTCTCATAAATATAACAGTAATGCCATTCCAAAAAGAAATAAGAAATAAGTGAAGATTTCAATTTTCATATTTTAATGAGAGTTTTTAGTTTAAAAAGCCATGTCTGTTAATTCATTTTGAATTAAATTGATTATTATTAATTAAAATCTCTTAAAAGTGAATAAATTAATATTTAAGTTTTATTGGTTATTTCTTAGAACTTGGTTTATTAAAAACGAGTGAATTGGTGGAGACAATTAAGAATTCTCATTTCTTCTTTATATTTAAGATATTATCATTCTTTAGTATTATTAAAACTTATTTCACAGATAAACCTATTCTTGAAAATCACTCTGATGTTTATTTACTACTGATGGTAATAATTTTAGCTATATGGCTTTGTTGGATAATAGGTTTCATTACTCAAACCAAGAATACATAAATGAACAATGTTTTATTCATTTTCTTTTGTTAAAGTATAGTTTTTGTTTTATAACTTATTTAGAATTTTTGCTAGAAAATGTGATGTTCAATTATTTTTTATTTGTTAAAAGAATTGTACTTTATTTAATGGAAGAATAAGATTATTGTTGAATAATAATAGGATGAATATTTTCTCACAAATATTGAAAATTAGAACAAAAAAGTTTTATTATTAATTAAATAACAAAAAATTATAAATAAAATTAATGTTATTAAAAAACAACAAAATAATACTTGAAAATACCAAAATTTGTTTTTATGAGGATAAAAAAAGGTTGAACTAAATAATCAGATTTAAAAGTAGATATGTCAGAAGAGGAAGGAAAAAAAGGTATTACTGAGGAAATAACAAACGAAAAATCCAAATTAACTAATGAAGAAGACAAACAAGAACACATCACAGAAAAAACAGAGGAGGGAGAAGAAACTGAAGAAGTTTTAGAGGAAGACGAAGAAGTAAAAGAACTTAACGAAGAAGGTAAACGAATGGTAGAATTAAAGAAAGTTGGTGAAAGAAAACAAGAAAAAAAACATGAAGTTACTTCTCAAGAACTTACTGCTGGTAAGAAAGTGATTGAGGCATTAGAAAAAAGAAAACAAGCACAAAGTCATGAAGAAGAATTACTCAAAAAGATTAAAGATGAAGAGGTTGTTCCACATGAAGGAGAAACAATAGAACAAGCCAAAGAACGAATTGTTCAAGAAATGATTGAAAAAGAAAGAAAAGGAAGTATTTTTGAAGACACAGATAGAGCTAAAGATAAGAAATTGATTAGTAACATGTTTGATGTTGATGTAGCACCATATGATACATTATTTGATATTCAATGGGGAATGAGATCAAATACTGCAGCAGTAAGAGAGCCAAGAGGATATATTATTGATGGTGTATTTCCATTTTTAATCGATAAAGAAGAAGAAGAGTCTCAATATGGTATTTTTTGTCATGAAAATGTTTATATTTATTTAGCTCCAGGTAAATCTGCAGAAACGTTTAATATCTTTTGTTGGTATGGAAACAATTCATCAGTAGGTAAAAAAGGAGTTTGTGCTATGTTAGCATCACAGCTAAGTGTATGTTTAGATAATCACGCTAAAATATATTATGAAGTTGATGGGAATGAGTCTGAACTTTTTAAAGAAATGTTTGAAGAAGGAATTACATATACTGAAGAAAATGCAACTGACGAATTACTTCATCCACCAAAGAAAGAAAAAAGGAAATTACGATTATTTAAAATTGATGAAGTTTATAAAAATTTAACTCGTGTAGAACAAGTAGAACCAAATCATGTTTCATTAACTCCATATGATGGTTTTGTGTTTGATGATAATAAAAGAGTTTATGTTTTTACAACAAAATATGCATCTAACAGAGTTAAGAATAGAGCACTTCAATTTGCAATGGTATTAAAAGCACAAAATAATTATGAAGAATCAGAAGTTTTTATGGAACCATCACCAAAAATGTTACTATTTTATAGGGCATTAAAATTAGATGATATGAATTATAATGAGTTATGTGAATATATTATGAAAGAGTATAAGCCAATTGAAACTAAACCATCGTTTGGAATGTTAATGAGATTTACACATAACACTAAAACAAGTCAAATTGTTAAAACAATTAAACCTGATAATATTCCATTAACAAAAAAAATGCTAAGAAGTCATAGATGTTATGTATATGATTGTGGAAATGAAATATTTATGTGGAAAGGAAAGAAATGTTCCAGAAAAGAATGGGAATTATTAAAGATGTTGGCTAATAAAGTAATTATGAAAATGGTAGATCGTCCAAAATGGTGTAAAATTCAAGACGAGTTTGAAGGAAAAGAAACAGAAGCATTTAAATATCATATCGCAGATTGGGATTACACAACTACAATTATTACTGATGATGATTATGAAAAACATATTAGTTTATTATCTAAACGTATTGACTATAACGCTCTTGTAATAAAAGAAATTAACGAAGCAAAAAAAGAATTTGAAAAAGCAAATGAAGAACAAAAGAATAAAGATAATAAAGAAGAAAATAATACTTCTAAACGATTTAAAGAAAATATACAAAAGAAAATTCAATTACTTGTTGGAAAAAAAGATCCTATTATTTATGACTACAAATGGGATATTGATGGATATAAATTAAAAATCCAATCAATGATGGAAAAAAAATGGGAACCAACAGTATTAACTAAAGATACAATTGACTATGAATTAAAATATAATATTACAGAGACATTAAAATTAACTGATATACAAATTTATGCATTTGTTGATATCATTGGGCCAAGTATTTTCAGAATTCCTCCTGAAAAATATGGAGAATTTTATGAAGAAAACTCATATATTGTCTCAGTAGAAAAATGGGATTTTGAGAGAGATATCTGGAGAAGAGATTTTTACTTTTGGGAAGGAAAAAAATCAACTCCTTTATACTATTCACAATTCTTAAAAAAAAATTATCCTGTCCTTGTTGAATATTATGAAAAAAATAAAAACAGAAAAGAAAATGAAATGAACGCACGACAAGCATCTGAGAACCGTATTATTTTTAACCAACAAAGAGTGTTCCAAGGTTGTGAACCTAAAATATTTGCAGAATTATTTAATTTAAGGATTGTAGTAAAAAGAGGTAATTATAAAGACACTATTGTTATACAAGAAGATAATACCAATTATGATGACGAAGAGAATGATGAGGGTTATGAGTATAGTGATGAGGAAGGAGAAGAAGAAGTAGAATACTACGATGAAGATGGAAATTTAATTGAGCCAGGAGATGATGATGAATGGGAATATGAAGAAGATGAAATAGAAGAAGAAAAACCAGAAGAAACAGAGGAAAACAAAAAGAATAATGATTCAAAAGAAGACAATGAAAATAATGAAACAGAAGATGGAGAAAAGGAACAAGAAATTGATAACGAAAAAAAAGATGAAGAAGAAAAAAAGGTAATTGTTAATAGATTTTTTGAAATTAGTATGGAAGATAGAACACAACGTATTGAAGAATTAAATCTTGAAGATGAGAATGTTGGGAAATATATTGAAAGTCATAGGTGTTATGCTCTTCAAACATTATACTCTGTATATCTTTGGATAGGCAAACAAACAGATCAAATTTCTAGAATTCAAGCAATTAGAAGCGTTATAACACTATTGGAAGAAGATAGGGAACTTGTATGTTTTGAAGAAGGATTTCATTATAACGAATTTTGGGATATTCTTCATGGAGTGGAGAAAGGTTATTTAAGTCTCTCACCAAAAGATCTTGGATTAGCTGCTCCATTAACATATGAAATAACACCATTTTCACAGAATTTTGTTCGAATTGGAATGAATTGGAAACAAGCTGATCCATCATCATGTTACATATTTGATTGTATGACACGAATATATGTATGGATGGGAGATGAGAGTATTCCTTTACAACAAAAGTACGCCATTAAGGTTGCATATGATTATGCAGAAGAAAGAATGAAAGAAAGAAAAATAAACATTGAAGTAATAACTGAGCATTGTGGTAAAGAAAGTGATCATTTCCTTAGGATGAGTGGAGGAGAGAGAATGGAGTATTATGACTTACAAAATGATCCAAGAGAAATATATTATAATTTAAAGAAAGAGAATTGGATTGAGTTACCAGAAGAAGAAAAAATAATAGAAAAAAATCAAGAACTTAAAATTGATTGGAGCAAAGTAAATGAAGATGAATTTAATAATAAAATGAAAGAAAGTAGGAATCAAGGAATTAAAGAATTACAAGAAAAAGAAAAGTTGAAGGAAAAAGGCAATAAACTACTTCTAGATGAATGGAAAAGTAATAAAGAATTAAATGATTTTATTAAAACGTTTAAGGACGAAGATACAGATATAGAAAGTCTTCCTGACGAAGACAAAGAATGCAAAGAAGTTACTACTAAACAACTGATGGAAGATATCAAAAAAGAAGAAGATAAAGAAAAACAAGAAAGAGATGAAATTGATAAAATGATAGAAGAAGAACTAAAAGAAAAATATGGCGATAACATTGAATATGTTGAAGAAGATGATAATGAAGAAGAGTGGGAAGACGGTGACTGGGAATATGAATATGAAGACGCTGGTGAGTATGAAGAAGGTGGTGACGACGAATATGAAAAAGAAGAAGATGATGAGTATGAATATGAAGAAGAAAGTGATGATGAAAGTGAAGAGTACGAAAGTGGAGAAGAAGATGAAGATCAATTAGAATATAAAAAGAATGTCACTGAGTCAAAAGAAAAAACAATTGAAGACCTTAGGAAAGAAGAAAAGAAGAAAGAAGATTTAGAAAAGAAACAAAGAAATAAAGCAGTAGACAAGAAGAACGCATATCTAAATGAAGTTGTTGCTTGTGATTACTGTTATGAAGAACACCCAAGATATTTATTAAGAAAAAACATTGTTGCAGACGATATGGAAAATGGTATCTGTTGGGAATGTTGGAAAATTTATTTCCCTGATGAAAAATGGCCTGATTTAGAACACAACAAATAAAATATTCATTTTCTTAAAAGAGCTTATGTTTTTGTTTTAACCGAACGAATGGAGAATATTTTGTTATAGGAAAATGAAAAAAAATATAAGAAATTCTAAAAATACAGAGATAAACTTGAAATAAAATGAATTGAACGATGACTGAATTTAAGACTACATTTAATCTTTTTTCTAAAGTAAAACAAACATGTGGAAAAGGTGATAAAAGAATTGCCAAACCAAGGACAAGGATTGAAACATCCTCTGAAGTATCTGAACAAATTATATCCAATAAATCAGCAAGTGCAATGGCTAACTTACTAAAAACATTACCAGATTGGAGTGTGGCTACTCGTAAGATTATAGACACTGCTAATATTGAAACTTTCCCAATAGCAGGTGACTTACCTCGTTTATTAAAACATTTAAATGTTTATGAAATTCATAATGGAGAATTTTACAGTGTTTTTCCAACTCAAAGAATTGTAACTGAACATATTATTGATTATTCGGTATCAAGTGATGGAAGTGCAATTAATGCAGGAGATTGCCTAAAAATTTTACAGACTGTGTGTATGATATTTGAATCTGATGAATTAGCACAGCACTTAGGAAATGAATGGAATGCATTAATGGACAACTCTTGTGATCTTTCTGTTCAAAAAACTTTTTTAATGCAAATTCTAAAAAAAGTATTTATTGAAGAAAAAAGTGATGGTGAAAGTCCTATTATAATGTTTCTAAAAGCAATTAATCAAAAAATTATAGGACCAGCAACAATGAGAGTTCGTTGTCAATGTGGTAGTTTGATTATCAAAGATGCCCGTTTGTTTTCCTTATATTTAATATTTTTCCCTTGGTTAATCCAGAGAATCCTAAAAGAGGAAAAGAGTGTCTAATTTCTAAAATAAAAAATTAATTGTATAGAGCCAATGGTTTGGGAAGTTGCAGTTATAATTATGGAAGACAAAACTATTATTTCACATTATAGAAGGCAAGAAACAAGTAGTAAAAAACCAGAAGAATACTTTAGATTTTTATGGGAATTAAGAATGGTTTTTAATCGTGACCTTACTCAGTTAGAAAGTCTTGTAATGGGGATTACAGAAATAGAATTCGATGATATTACATTAGACTCAGTTCGTGATAGAGTTAGTTCTGCATTAGAGCCAATGAAATCACAAAATTGTTTTATTGGTAATATGGATGACTAAATTTTGAATTATTCATAAACACAATTTATTTACTTTATTTGTTATATTTATGTTTATTATAAAATACTAACTCTACTTTTATTTATAAAAGTTTAAAACTGTAATAAATTAAAAAAAAACTATTCATTTTGAAAACTGTTTTTTCACTACATATCTAAAATTAGATTATTCATAAAATTATAATCTTTCCATAGAAAATTAAAATTTGTATTTTATTCTAATAATTAGTTTTTTAATTTGATTCATTCTTTTTACAATTTAATTTATTTATTATTTTGTTATAACAAACAAAAATGAACTTCCCTATATATTTAAAAACTCAACTAAAAGAACATCCTATTTAACACTCTTTTTCTATATAAAATGTATTAATAGAATTTGTGTCATTATTAACAATAACTACTTCTTTAAAAAATGAAAAATGGTCCCGGCGGGGATCGAACCCGCGACCCTCGCATTTCTCTTTTCTATAAGTACGATGCACTACCAACTGTGCTACGGGGCCATTATGAATTTTATATTCATAAATTAATAATAATATAGTTTTAGTATTAATATCATAAGAAGTAAAATAAAAATAATGAACAAAAAGAATAATAATACACTCATTTAAAGTAACGTCCAATGGGTGTTGATGGCTCGTCCTGAAACGTCGTTAATCCCTAAATAATAAATGTTTGAATATTATTAGTAATAAAACCAAAACATTTGTAAGACAAACATTATTTTTTATTCTTTTTAACTCGTCCTCTAATTCTAGTACTTTCTCAGTCAGTTCTGTGATAGCCTCTTCAAGGGAATGGACATAATTTAAATCATAATTATTTACTTCATTCATCCTACTCTTTCATTTTTAAGTTTCTTTTCATAAAATAAACTTTTTTATTTTTTACTTTTCATTAAGAAAATAATATCCCAAATCATCAATATAAAGTAATTCAAATCCACTCAATTTAAAAGACATTTTTGTATAATTATTTTTTACGAGAACCACCATTAGACTTTTGTTTCAACCCACTTTTACCAAATCTTTTTCTGATTTTACCACTAAACTGTTTTCTTGGAACTCTTTTCTTACCTCCTGTAATTCGATCTTCTTCTTTTTTCATTTGCTTTTTAGAGAAACTCTTCATTAAGAATGGTTTATTTCTTGCAAGAACTTTTGATGTCCTTCCAGTTCTATTTCTGTGGAACTTATCATTTTCAGCTCGTGACTCTTTCAAGATTTTAATCCTCTCGTCTCGGCTTAACTTCTTTTTGACAGATGCTTCCAGAGATTCTGGCAATACATAAGTTGTATCTCTCTCCATCTCTTCTTCTTCTGAAGAAGAAATTCCTTCATCTTCTCTTTGTTTTCTTCGGATTTTTTCAAGTTGTTCTTGTGTTAAAAGTCCACCGTCATATTGTGGAATATTGTCTTCTTCTTCACTCATCTCATCTTCGTCATCTTCGTTAAAGTCTTCTGCCTTACTGTCTTCTTCTTCGCTCATATCTTCTTCTCTTTCATCTGAACTTGAACTACCACTGCATTCTTCCCAAGACGATCCAAGTTCTAAATCATCACCCATTTCCTCATTGGAACTACATTCATCAACACCACTATCACTTGCACCTTCTTCTTCTTCCTTGTTCATATCATTTTCCTCTTTGTTCGTATCCTCTTTCTTATTATTAATTTCTTCTTGACCACTATTATCATCTTCCTCTTCACTCATATCAGCATCACTGCTTTCCTTTTTCTCCAGTAGCTCAGCTCCAATTGGACCATCATATACTTTTTGTTCTCCGTATTGTAAAATGGTTTTGTGTTGTTGATCAGGTCTTCCTCGGTCCTTTTTAGATAAGAGTTCTGGATTAATTCCTCTATACAATGAAATGAGAGAACGAGCAGCACTAACAACAGCCTTGTTGTGACTCTTTTTATACATTGTTAAATCTTTCAACATTGACTGATTCATTACTAATGGACATCTCTCACAAATTGTTCTTACAGTGTTTAAACCAAGTGCTTGGGCTTCAACTCTACTTCTGTCTGATACAAAATTATTTAAAATAGTTCGTACAATTGGTTCTACTGCATCTGGGGGTACTAATGGATGAATAGCTTGAGCAGTATAAGCTAATAATTGAGTAATATTTTCATGTCTTACATATAAATACCTAACAATAAATGAATAGAATGGAAGACAAATAACTTCTCTACGAGCAATAACACGTGATAATAAATCCAATTCCATTAACCTTACTGCAAATCTGTTTCTTGACCCTTTAATATCTCTAAATAATTTATCACAAAATGCTATTGGATCATAAATATTATCAATAGCTGCCCAATTTGCTTGATGTGCAATAACTTCTGTCTTTCTAAGTTTGTCAACAGTATCTTCAGCTTCTTTTTTCATTGCCCTTAATTTTCCTGTTCTCTTTTTGATTCCCATTTTTTTCTTTAATAATCTCAATTCTTCTTCTGCTTGTTTTAATTCTTCTTTTGTCTCATCATCCATTGCTGCTTGTTTTTCATCTAATCGAAGGAAAAATTCCATTGCTTTAACCTTAACTTTAGCATCATTGTGGAAAATGGCATTTGCAAGAATATTAATCACACGAGGTTCTTTTAAAATTTTTCTTGTAAACAGTTCTCCTAAAATTTCAACTACTTTCTTTACAACTTTTATATTAGTATTGGAATCAATTATTTGCTCCAACAACCTCATTGTTGATTGTTTGCTTTTTGCTCCTCCTTTTTGTTGGGAAGTATGTTTAATATCATTAATAATAAATCTATAAACTATTGCCGTAACATTTTTATCTTTAATACATAACATTTCTAATAATGTAGGCAAAATTTCTTCAAGTGACATGAACCCTTTACTTCTCAACCCAATCAATGCTTTTGTGATAGTAACTTTTGACTGAGAATTTAATTTACATTTTTTAATCATTTCTATAAGTTCCCTTGGAAAATTTTCAAGATATTTCTTGTATTCTGCACTGATATTGTTTAAGAAAACAACCAACCTCAACGTCTCATCAAGTGCAGTGTCTGGAACACTCATACCAAGCTCTGCTTGAGCAAGCATAGTTGTAACACTTGACTTGAAATGACTGTAATACCTTTTAAAATCATCCTCATAGGCTGGTGGGTCCATTTTCATTTTGTGTTGAATCAAAGTATAATCGGTCATGATTCTTATACAGTAAATTTAAAGTTTGATAATTTTTTTGAAAAGAAAAAAAGGGTTTAAAAAAAAACACAAAATAATAATAACAAAATTCTTTTTTTTTTTTACAAAGACCTCTCCCCTTTCTGTTCATTCATGACATTTGATTTCTTTGGTTTGTTTTGTGATTTAAAAAACTTTGCGGGATCAAGCCTTGTGGTTGTTTCGTCCAGATCTCTATATTTTTTTATTTTCAGTAACAACTCTTTATTCATTTCAATTTTCATATCAATAGCATTGCATCTCTTTTCCGTGTTGATATTTGCAGGTGTCATAACTACTTTTTGTTTAATTTCTTGGTTTATCCTTTCTACTATTGGTTGTAACTTACTTTTATTCTCATTATCTCTGTTTAGTGAAACTTTACTTATTATTTTATCTATCCGCTCTAAGATTTTGGTTGTTGTTACGCTGTGATTGTTTATTAAATGTTTTTGAGTAATCAGTATGTGAGTAAAGGCAACAACTCCTATTGTAGTTTCTATTATTATTGTTTCATTAACCATACCAACAATAAATGAAATTACTAATGGCACCAAAGCAAGACAAAAACCTTCTGAGACAAACAAAAGCAAAGGTCTCTGTTGATTAAATACATCAGAACGAGAGAAGAGAAACATACACACTACTTCTGAAAACCAAACTGAAAACAGTCTTGGTTCAAATAACATAGCAACAAAGAAACTTATATTAAATAATACAGAGTACAAAATCCAATACAATTTAAAATTCTTAAAGAAAGTTTTTGTAAAGGAATTTTTATTTGTGGTGTTGTTTTGTGAGTTCAATAAGTCTTCTTCTAGATTGAAGATAAATTTGTCAAGTTCTTGTTTTATTTGGTTAGCTCTAAAAAGAAAAGATTCAGTTGTACCAAAATCCATACTTTCTTATTCTTTTTTTCTACGTGTCTCTTTAAAGCTAAAGACCTTTCTTCTTGGCATTCCTCCAGTATCAACTATACTTATAAGGCATAAAGCCTATAGAATTTTTATTCACTCTTTGTTTTCTAATGTTATTTCTTAATAAACAATCCACTTACGCGATATCTACAAACATTTCGTTACTTCAGCACTTTATGGATAAGGGAGTAATTTTATTGCTGACGCATATTGTTTTATTTATCAATACCATAATGAAATGATATCTGAAGAGAGTGTTGATAAAAAAAGAAAATAATTTATTATTTTAATAAATCATTTTATTTTAAATAATTATAACATAATTTATTGATATCATAACAAAAAAAATTTATTTAAACCAAAAAAGTTAATTTAATTATCTCTTGGATGTCTAATTTGGGCTTGAGCAGCAGCAATTCTAGCAACTGGAATTCTGTATGAAGAACATGAAACATAGTTCAATCCAATCATGTGGCACCATTCAATTGATGATGGTTCTCCTCCATGTTCTCCACAAATACCAACAAGTAATTCTGGTCTTGTTTGTCTTCCTTTAGTAACAGCAATTCTCATAACTTCTCCAACACCTGGTCTATCAAGAATTTCAAATGGATTAGCTGGAAGAATCTTAAGTTCAACATATTTTGGAATGAATTTGTTTTCTGAATCTTCACGTGAGTATGAGAAGGTTCCTTGAGTAAGATCA